CAGAAAGTACGCGAAAAGTCCAATCACAGAAAGTACGCGAAAAGCATACAATCACAGAAAAGTACGCGAAAAGCATCCAATCACAAAAAGTACGCGAAATGCATCCAATCACAGAAAGTACGCGAAAAGCATCCAATCACAGAAAGTACGCGGAAAGCATACAATCACAGAAAGTACGCGAAAAGCATCCAATCAAAGAAAGTACGCGAAAAGAATACAATCACAGAAAGTACGCGAAAAGCATCCAATCACAGAAAGTACGCGGAAAAGATACAATCACAGAAAGTACGCGAAAAGCATCCAATCACAGAAAGTACGCGAAAAGGTTACAATCACAGAAAGTACGCGAAAAGCATCCAATCACAGAAAGTACGCGAAAAGAATACAATCACAGAAAGTACGCGAAAAGCATCCAATCACAGAAAGTACGCGAAAAGGATACAGTCACAGAAAGTACGCGAAAAGCATACAATCACAGAAAGTACGCGAAAAGCATACAATTACAGAAAGTACGCGAAAAGAATACAATCACAGAAAGTACGTGAAAAGGATACAATCACAGAAAGTACGCGAAAAGCATCCAATCACAGAAAGTACGCGAAAAGCATACAATCACAGAAAGTACGCGAAAAGCATCCAATCACAAAAAGTACGCGAAATGCATCCAATCACAGAAAGTACGCGAAAAGCATCCAATCACAGAAAGTACGCGAAAAGCATCCAATCACAGAAAGTACGCGAAAAGCATACAATCACAGAAAGTACGCGAAAAGGATACAATCACAGAAAGTACGCGAAAAGCATACAATCACAGAAAGTACGCAAAAAAACATCCAATCACAGAAAGTACGCGAAAAGAATACAATCACAGAAAGTATACAAAAAGCATACAATCACAGAAAGTACGTGAAAAGCATACAATCACAGAAAGTACGCGAAAAGCATCCAATCACAGAAAGTACACGAAAAGCATCCAATCACAGAAAGTACACGAAAAGCATCCAATGACAGAAAGTACGCGAAAAGAATACAATCACAGAAATTACGCGAAAGCATCCAATCACAGAAAGAACGCGGAAAGGATACAATCACAGAAAGTACGCGAAAAGCATCCAATCACAGAAAGTACGCGAAAAGGATACAATCACAGAAAGTACGCGAAAAGCATCCAAACACAGAAAGTACGCGAAAAGAATACAATCACAGAAAGTACGCGAAAAGCAAAACACAGAAAGAAATTACGAAAAGAATACAATCACAGAAAGTAAGCAAAAGCATACAATCACAACAGAAAGAAAAAAGCATACAATCACAAAAGGATACAGTCACAGAAAGTACGCGAAAAAGCATCCAGAAAGTACGCGAAAAGCATACAATCACAGAAAGTACGCGAAAAGCATCCACTCACAGAAAGTACGCGAAAAGAATACAATCACAGAAAGTAAAAAAATACATCAATCACAGAAAGTACGCGAAAAGAATACAATCACAAAAGTATACAAAAGCATACAATCACAGAAAGTACGCGAAAAGCATATAATCACAGAAAGTACGCGAAAAGTATACAGTCACAGAAAGTACGCAAAAGGTTACAATCACAGAAAAAGACGCGAAAAGCATCCAATCACAGAAAGTACGCGAAAAGCATCCAATCACAGAAAAAGTACGCGAAAAGCATCCAATCACAGAAAGTACGTGAAAAGGATACAGTCACAGAAAGTACGCGGAAAGCATACAATCACAGAAAGTACGCGAAAAGCATACAATCACAGAAAGTACGCGAAAAGAATACAATCACAGAAAGTACGCGAAAAGGATACAATCACAGAAAAGTACGCGAAAAGCATCCAATCACAGAAAGTACGCGAAAAGCATACAATCACAGAAAGTACGCGAAAAGCATCCAATCACAAAAGTACGCGAAAAGCATCCAATCACAGAAAGTACGCGAAAAGCAATCACAGAAAGTACGCGAAAAGCATACAATCACAGAAAGTACGCGAAAAGCATACAATCACAGAAAGTACGCGAAAAGCATCCAATCACAGAAAGTACGCGAAAAGTATACAATCACAGAAAGTACGCGAAAAGAATACAATCACAGAAAGTACGCGAAAAGCATCCAATCACAGAAAGTACGCGAAAAGCATCCAATCACAGAAAGTACGCGAAAAAGAATCCAATCACAGAAAAGTACGCGAAAAGAATACAATCACAGAAATTACGCGAAAAGCATCCAATCACAGAAAGTACGCGGAAAGGATCCAATCACAGAAAGTACGCGAAAAGCATCAATCACAGAAAATACGCGAAAAGGATACAATCACAGAAAGTACGCGAAAAGCATCCAATCACAGAAAGTACGCGAAAAGAATACAATCACAGAAAGTACGCGAAAAGAATCCAAACACAGAAAGTACGCGAAAAGAATACAATCACAGAAAGTACGCGAAAAGCATACAATCACAGAAAGTACGCGAAAAGGATACAATCACAGAAAGTACGCGTAAAGCATACAATCACAGAAAGTACGCGAAAAACATACAATCACAGAAAGTACGCGAAAAGCAATCACAGAAAGTACGCGAAAACATACAATCACAGAAAGTACGCGAAAAGATACAATCACAGAAAGTACGCGAAAAGCATACAATCACAGAAAGTACGCGAAATGGATACAATCACAGAAAGTACGCGAAAAAATACAATCACAGAAAGTACGCGAAAAGAATACAATCACAGAAAGTACCGCGAAAAACATACAATCACAGAAAGTACGCGAAAAGCATACAATCACAGAAAGTACGCGAAAAGCATACAATCACAGAAAGTACGCGAAAAGCATACAATCGAAATGGATACAATCACAGAAAGTACGCGAAAAGCATATAATCACAGAAAATACGCGAAAAAAAACAATCACAGAAAGTATACAAAAAGCATACAATCACAGAAAGTACGCGAAAAGCATACAATCACAGAAAGTACGCGAAAAGCATACAATCACAGAAAGTACGCGAAAAGGATACAATCACAGAAAGTACGCGAAAAGCATCAATCACAATCACGAAAAGAAACAGAAAGTACGCGAAAAAAGTACGGATCCAATCACAGAAAGTACGCGAAAAGAATACAATCACAGAAAGTACGCGAAAAGCATCCAATCACAGAAAGTACGCGAAAAGAATACAATCACAGAAAGTACGCGAAAAGCATACAATCACAGAAAGTACGCGAAAAGGATACAATCACAGAAAGTACGCGAAAAGCAATACAATCACAGAAAGTACGCGAAAAGCATACAATCACAGAAAGTACGCGAAAAGAATACAATCACAGAAAGTACGCGAAAAGCATCAATCACAGAAAGTACGCGAAAAGCATCCAATCACAGAAAGTACGCGAAAAAGAATACAATCACAGAAAGTACGCAGAAAGCATCCAATCACAAAAAGTACGCGAAAAATACATCCAATCACAAAAGTACGCGAAAATCATACAATCACAGAAAGTACGCGAAAAGGATCCAATCACAGAAAGTACGCGAAAAGATCCAATCACAGAAAGTACGCGAAAAGGATCCAATCACAGAAAGTACGCGAAAAGCATCCAATCACAGAAAGTACGCGAAAAGAATACAATCACAGAAAGTACGAAAAGCATCCAATCACAGAAAGTACGTGAAAAGGATACAATCACAGAAAGTACGCGAAAAGCATACAATCACAGAAAGTACGCGAAAAGCATACAATCACAGAAAAGTACGCGAAAAGAATACAATCACAGAAAGTACGAAAGGATCCAATCACAGAAAGTACGCGAAAAGCATACAATCACAGAAAGTACGCGAAAAGCATACAATCACAGAAAGTACGCGAAAAAGAATACAATTACAGAAAGTACGCGAAAAGAATACAATCACAGAAAGTACGTGAAAAGGATACAATCACAGAAAGTACGCGAAAAGCATCCAATCACAGAAAGTACGCGAAAAGCATACAATCACAGAAAGTACGCGAAAAGCATCCAATCACAAAAAGTACGCGAAATGCATCCAATCACAGAAAGTACGCGAAAAGCATCCAATCACAGAAAGTACGCGAAAAGCATACAATCACAGAAAGTACGCGAAAAGCATACAATCACAGAAAGTACGCGAAAAGCATCCAATCACAGAAAGTACGCGAAAAGAATACAATCACAGAAAGTATACAAAAAGCATACAATCACAGAAAGTACGTGAAAAGCATACAATCACAGAAAGTACGCGAAAAGCATCCAATCACAGAAAGTACGCGAAAAGCATCCAATCACAGAAAGTACGCGAAAAGAATACAATCACAGAAATTACGCGAAAAGCATCCAATCACAGAAAGTACGCGGAAAGGATACAATCACAGAAAGTACGCGAAAAGCATCCAATCACAGAAAGTACGCGAAAAGGATACAATCACAGAAAGTACGCGAAAAGCATCCAATCACAGAAAGTACGCGAAAAGAATACAATCACAGAAAGTACGCGAAAAGCATCCAAACACAGAAAGTACGCGAAAAGAATACAATCACAGAAAGTACGCGAAAAGCATACAATCACAGAAAGTACGCGAAAAGGATACAGTCACAGAAAGTACGCGTAAAGCATACAATCACAGAAAGTACGCGAAAAGCATACAATCACAGAAAGTACGCGAAAAGTATACAGTCACAGAAAGTACGCGAAAAACATACAATCACAGAAAGTACGCGAAAAGCATATAATCACAGAAAGTACGCGAAAAGCATACACTCACAGAAAGTACGCGAAATGGATACAATCACAGAAAGTACGCGAAAAGCCTCCAATCACAGAAAGTACGCGAAAAGAATACAGTCACAGAAAGTATACAAAAAGCATACAATCACAGAAAGTACGCGAAAAACATACAATCACAGAAAGTCCGCGAAAAGCATATAATCACAGAAAGTACGCGAAAAGCATACACTCACAGAAAGTACGCGAAATGGATACAATCACAGAAAGTACGCGAAAAGCCTCCAATCACAGAAAATACGCGAAAAAAATACAGTCACAGAAAGTATACAAAAAGCATACAATCACAGAAAGTACGCGAAAAGCATACAATCACAGAAAGTACGCGAAAAGGATACAGTCACAGAAAGTACGCGAAAAGCATACAATCACAGAAAGTACGCGAAAAGCATACAATCACAGAAAGTACGCGAAAAGCATCCAATCACAGAAAGTACGCGAAAAGAATACAGTCACAGAAAGTACGCAAAAAGCATCCAATCACAGAAAGTACGCGAAAAGCATCCAATCACAGAAAGTACGCGAAAAGTATCCAATCACAGAAAGTACGCGAAAAGAATACAATCACAGAAAGTACGCGAAAAGCATCCAATCACAAAAAGTACGCGAAAAGCATCCAATCACAAAAAGTACGCCAAAATCATCCAATCACAGAAAGTACGCGAAAAGGATACAATCACAGAAAGTACGCGAAAAGCATCCAATCACAGAAAGTACGCGAAAAGGATACAATCACAGAAAGTACGCGAAAAGCATCCAATCACAGAAAGTACGCGAAAAGAATACAATCACAGAAAGTACGCGAAAAGCATCCAATCACAGAAAGTACGTGAAAAGGATACAGTCACAGAAAGTACGCGGAAAGCATACAATCACAGAAAGTACGCGAAAAGCATACAATCACAGAAAGTACGCGAAAAGCATCCACTCACAGAAAGTACGCGAAAAGGATACAATCACAGAAAGTACGCGAAAAGCATCCAATCACAGAAAGTACGCGAAAAGCATCCACTTACACAAAGTACACGAAAAGCATCCAATCACAGTAAGTACGCGAAAAGCATCCAATCACAGAAAGTACGCGAAAAGAATACAATCACAGAAAGTACGCGAAAAGCATCCAATCACAGAAAGTACGCGAAATCATCCAATCACAAAAAGTACGCGAAAAGCATCCAATCACAAAAAGTACGCGAAAAGCATCCAATCACAGAAAGTACGCGAAAAGGATACAATCACAGAAAGTACGCGAAAAGCATCCAATCACAGAAAGTACGCGGAAAGGATACAATCACAGAAAGTACGCGAAAAGAATACAGTCACAGAAAGTATACAAAAAGCATACAATCACAGAAAGTACGCGAAAAGCATACAATCACAGAAAGTACGCGAAAAGGATACAGTCACAGAAAGTACGCGAAAAGCATACAATCACAGAAAGTACGCGAAAAGCATCCACTCACAGAAAGTACGCGAAAAGGATACAATCACAGAAAGTACGCGAAAAGCATACAATCACAGAAAGTACGCGAAAAGCATACAATCACAGAAAGTACGCGAAAAGCATCCAATCACAGAAAGTACGCGAAAAGGATACAATCACAGAAAGTACGCGAAAAGCATACAATCACAGAAAGGACGCGAAAAGCATCCAATCACAGAAAGTACGCGAAAAGAATACAATCACAGAAAGTATACAAAAAGCATACAATCACAGAAAGTACGCGAAAAGCATCCAATCACAGAAAGTACACGAAAAGCATCCAATCACAGAAAGTACGCGAAAAGAATACAATCACAGAAAGTACGCGAAAAGCATCCAATCACAGAAAGTACGCGGAAAGGATACAATCACAGAAAGTACGCGAAAAGCATCCACTTACACAAAGTACACGAAAAGCATCCAATCACAGAAAGTACGCGAAAAGCATCCAATCACAGAAAGTACGCGAAAAGAATACAATCACAGAAAGTACGCGAAAAGCATCCAATCACAGAAAGTACGCGAAAAGCATCCAATCACAAAAAGTACGCGAAAAGCATCCAATCACAAAAAGTACGCGAAAAGCATCCAATCACAGAAAGTACGCGAAAAGCATCCAATCACAAAAAGTACGCGAAAAGCATCCAATCACAGAAAGTACGCGAAAAGGATACAATCACAGAAAGTACGCGAAAAGCATACAATCACAGAAAGTACGCGAAAAGCAAATAATCCGAGGAAAGTTTACAATCACCCTTCATTCTCAAAAATTATTTCTAAAGTTAGATCAGTTATTTTGCGAAAACTTCTACACAAGTACCATTTTAAGACAACATTTATACATATAAATATGTGCATTTAGGCAGCATCCACTCTTATTTCGTAACGTTTATTTGGTTCGTATAAATGTAGCAATATGATTCCGCTGCAAGGCTATTGGCTAAAGTTAAAAACAAAAATTGACCCTGATGATGAACGATGACGTTCGAAAGTACTCGGTTGTCTTTTGGAAAATATATATATCGATATAATTTTGAAATAAAAAGTCTCATTCGGAAATATGAGAAAATACAAAAGAAAATCAGCAGGACTATGTTGTCTTTGGCGTTTAATACAACGTATTTAAACATATAAATATATATGCCCCTGCTATTTACCATGAGCTCCTTGATAAAATCCAAAGAATCCGCAATATTATTGGTCCTGATCTGGCGGCTTGACTTCAGTCACTTTCCCTCTGCCATAAGATTGCCTCTGTATGTCTTTTCTATAAATACATCCATGGTAAATGTTCGGATGAGCTCTTCGCTATGGATGTGTTTTTCGTATTTGTTGTTGTGTCTGAATGAGTGTGTGTTTGTGTGAGTGCTTGGGATGAATGGATGTTTTATATTATTAAAGTCCCGCATTGATTTCGTCCCGTTTACTGATGTTTCTGCCACATTTAAGGAATGTGGGGTTTTTTATTACTAACATTATCTTATTTGGTTTCTTGTAAATAGTTGTGTTTCTCATATTGTAAATACTCATTGGGGCTATTTTAAATTGTTGTTTTATTCCCGTCACCCCATAGACAATGAATGGGGACTCGTTAAGATTTTCATAGAGACAATGAGGTATTATGGTGAATGTAGTAAGAAAGGTTAGTAAGAATGTGTTGTTTTGGCGTTAGGAATATTGTGGTATGTTTGGGTCAGTGTTTCTGCCTAGCTAAGTTTAAAGTTAAGACAGAACAAGACTGTCCTTTTCCCTATTCCCCATTTTTGGTCATGTGCTACATTTTCTGCATTTAAAGCGGAAATAAATATCTCTCTTCGCTATGGTATCTAGACTTTTAAAAAAATTAAGTGCAGTACTAGATTGGCGTCGTGATGCCCTCAATTTACATGAACGATGAGTAAGTTTTAAAAAGAGAGAACAGTGGAGAGGAAAACTGGACCAGGAAGTCACAACAGCAAAGGGTATCATCATTTCAACTTAGAGCTAAAGAGATCTATTAGAAAAGATCCAACTCAATACGTAAGATCTTTGGCACGTGAAAGAGGAGTTTCAGCTATGACAGTCCAAAGCTCAGTAAAAATACTTGAAAATGAAATCGTACATGAAACCTGTGAGACAAAAAGTTAAAAGGTTAGAGAGACCGAAGATCATCTTGAAAATGATCCTAGAATAATTGCATCTGCTTGTAATTGGGAGTGTGTGCTCAATAAAGCTAAGTCACTGTTTGCTGATAGACTGAGGCACCGTGTAGCCTCTCTTGGGTTCTTCTGATTTTAATGTCAGCTCTTTAAGAGTTTGTTGAACAAGACTAAATTCTAAATCCCTTCTCTCTTCCATCAGTTTGAAGTATTGTCTTCCAAATCTACTTGACTCATCAGAAGTATCTTTGCCTGATTTTCCACCTAAAACAGAATCTCTACTTTATGATACGTGCATAATTCCAACTATGCTATCATCCCCGAACTAAATCCAAAAGCATGTTGACTTAATGGTATCCCTGCAATTGTCTTAAAGAAATGTGCTCCTTGTACTGATTCCTATTCTCTTGAAACTATAAAAAAAATGTCTTGTTGCCTATTGCTTTCCAGCTTGTTGAGAAATATCTTTTCTAGTTTCCGTCTTTAAGATCTCTGGTGAAACTTCTGAGCACTCAAATTATCATCCTATTAGTTTTTACCTCTGAATTGGGTTAAGCATCTCACTTCACTTATTTTGGGTAAACAATATGGCTTTCACTTTTCAATGACGTGTTAACAGTTATTACTTAATTTGTCTATCAAACTTTAGATAAGTGAGGCTGTGGCTTTATATCTTTTCAAATGACATGCTGGTTTTCTTCATAAGCTGAATGGTTATGGTGTCTCTTGCCAAAATCAACTAAATCCAATTTTTCTTTTTTGTAATGAAAGACAATTTGAACAGCCACTCTTCTAGATCCTTTCATATTAATACGGGTGTTCATCAAGGCTTTATGCTTGGATCTATTCTGTCTCTTATTTTCATCAATGACCTTCTGGGTATTATCAATTTCTGACTCAGTATCTATCCTGATGAAACAACTATTTATTCCTGTAAGTCAGATAGGTCTGATAAAGTAACTGATGGCTGATCTAAAAAATGATCTACAATCTGTCCTGAGTAAGACCTCACATAGAGGAGAACATGACTAAAGACACTGTAGTCTATCCCATGCAGCTGCAGAAAGAAATATAAAGGGGAAACAGGCCACCCCCTTAAGGTAACGCTTCAAGATCACCAGAACGCTGTAACACAAGGGGAAGTGGAAAAATCAGGTGTGGCTGACCATATATGGAGAGAAAAGGGAGATCACCACCCTCTGTGGGATCAGGGTGTACCTCCCCCTCTCATCGTTACCTCTGTTTTTGTTGTTGTTGTATGTGTTATATGTAATAGGAGTATGTAGGCTTTCCTACTGCTCGGTCAACACTCCTACCCCTTCTCTTGGACATGAGTAGAGGCTTACGCCTTGTTTCTTGTTTAGGAAGGGGTTCCCGATACTCTCTCTCTCTCTCTCTCTCTCTCTTTCTCTCACTGGCCTCTGTATCTCCAGTTGCCTTGATCTATCCACTACCCTTCTCCTCATCCTTTCTTCTATCACTTCTATCTGATCTTGCTCCAAATTTTCTGTAACCCCTTGCGTCCTAGTGGCTTTCCGCCTTGCTTGGGGTGAAACGCTTAAAAAAAAAAATTTAAAAAAATATTTATATATATTTGATTTTTATTTCAGTCATTAATTTGTTTAGTTTTGAAGAAAGAAATTTCATCTTGAAATGTTATTGTTGAATTTCAAAGGTGGTATTGAAGAGAGCTTTATTCAGATGTTCCCACGCGGCTTAAAATCTCATGTAATTAGAGATAAGTTTGAAGTTTGAATGCTTAACTATAATTAATGATGAACATGTCATTGTCGTTTAAGATCGATTTCATCACGATACTTCTGTTAACCTTAGAAAGTAATTATACATTCTTATTGCTCAGAGTTCAATAATGTTATGAAAACCTTGGAGAATTCCTGTAAGTTATCTTTAATCATTTCTAAGATACAACGGTTCAGAGCTTAATCTAAAAAAATGGAGAATTTTGCTATTACACCCGGTATATATATATACTACTACTACTGTACTGATGCGGCATTCACCCTGGGCGGACTGAGCCGGCTTCTTCCTGTTATGAGAAGAAGATTCTTGGGATAAATTATAGAAGTAGGGTACCCAGGCCTACTCGAATAACGTTCTTGCTTGCCGCGGGATTCCCACAGACGCAGAGACAGGAACGACCAGAAGCCGCCGGTTACCGATGCAGACGCTCCTTGGATTTTCACCAGAGCCCTTGTTAGCCGGCGTGTGTGTCAGCCCTGTCCGCCTTGGGTGGCCCTACCAGGAACGAAGTTCCGGGCGGCATAGCTCTGACACTACCGTTTACACCCCCCCAGCGACTGTGAGGTACGGGTTGGACCTTGGGAGCTTACAGTACCAGGTGTTCCCAAGCGGTCCCCCATCTAAGTACTGACCTGGCTTTACGCTGCTTAACTTCGGTGATCGTACGAGAACCGGTGTTTCAGCGTGATTTGACCGTAAGCAACTACACATGCGCATGAATGAAATGCATTAGTTGCGCACCGTAATGTGTTTGATCACAATTTTGATTTTAAAATGCTGCTCTAGTTAAAATAGAAACCAATTTACTATGATGAAATTACATAGAATGAGCTTAAATCACAAGCTAATACACATTAAATTTACGTCCAGGTTCTTGCATTTCAGCTTTCTTGGTAGATCTATCATTGCATTGTGGGATATTTAATAGCAAAAGAAAAAGAAACTAAATGAAATCGGGTAGACTCTATATCTAAAACATATTTTAAAAAAATAATTACAATTCTAAGCGTCCCCTTTCCTTTGTGCGAATGTGTAGTCGCATCAAGGTAAACATCACTTTAGTTATATATATATATATATATATATAATGTAAGTACTATTGTATATGTCTAACAGAATGGAAACTTTTTACGCCCTAAAGAAATAAAGCGTAAAAATAATAAATTAAAGTGCTAAATGCAAAATAGTCTAAGAGTGAATAAACAAACAAGGGAAATTATGAAGAGGACGAACAGTTAAAGAAACGGCGACAGATTTGTCAGTTCTGCTTGGAGGCGAAACTGGCGATTGTCATATGTAAGGAGCCAAACAAATTGTTGAATACCCGGTCGGAGGTGTTGTCAAAATGCCAGTATCCCCCAAAAGCTTTTGCTGACTAACTAGGTTCCAGACAATAATAATAATAATAATAATGATAATAAAATATTTATTGTAGGAGGTTGAGAGGGTGAAAAATGTCGCCTGTAAAAATATTCAACTCGTACACAAAGTAAAAGGAAAGGAAAAACACAAGTAATACGTAAACAATTTTTTTTATATCCAGATATTGTTGAGACTTTTTCGTACGGGAGGATGGAGGAAGATTTCTTAATGACTTCGACACGAACAAAAACATCCGGCTGCTACACGGACTCTCACGCGGACTGTCAAGAAAACTGTCACTTAGTGCCTACTTGATACGTCTCGTGCGGACGTCACAGTAGATAGAAAATGCGCACGAATATTTAAGAGAAAATGCGCGGCACATTTCTAAATTGTATTATTGGTGAGTATGAAATTACTATTAACTTAATAACTATATATGGTTTAAAGGTAATATTTTTCACATTAATA